AAGCTTATTGTAGTTACCGTGGTAGTTATCTTGGACAGTAGTCACACTTCCCGTGGATGCAAAATTAAACTTATGTTAAAAAAAAACTATTTAATTATAATTGCAAAATGTCAACTTGACAATATATATGGAAATAATTATAAAACACGATTGATATTATTGTAAAACTTTTAAGATATATATTTTGGTACTATAGTTCTTAAAACTATGTAAAATTGGCTATATTAGAGGAAAAAGAAACATATTTATCGAGGTACAATCATATTATAAAATTATATTATTAAATAATATAAATGTGAAAGTTTGTGAGGATGGATGTTGGTTACTCTCATGTAAAAACTACTGAACGGATTTTGATGAAATTTGGAATACGAATAATCTTTTACCCGTGGGAAGCGCCATCATACGCTGGTAACATATGTTATATTTACTATAGTGACGCAACGGAGTCGCAAGAACAAAGAACGCAAGAAATTTTAGATGTCCAACAAAATACGAGTAAAAGATTGCTTAATGATTTATAAATAATTGATAAATTCACGCCACTTTTAAAAAAATATTATTTTCTTAATACTGGCGTGAATTTTTCAATTTAATTAATAATAATCATAAATAGGATTGGTACGTAAGTGTGAAATGAATAGAAGTGTAATAGGTAATAGTTCAGCCATGCCCCTAACAATGAAAATTATATTATATTATTTAATAAGTAGTAGTATTGTAGCAGTTTCACGAAATACTTACTTTTATTTAATATGACTTCAATGTCGATACAAGTATCGATATCTTGGGTCGCGCCCTATGACAATCCGCCATCGAAGAATTTGCATTTGAAGTTTAGGCATATACGCTTTTTTCGTAGGTATGGCCGGTCCTCTTCTTTTATGTCTATGATCGACATGCCTAGACCCATAGAGTAAGGTAGAGTGGAAATATTTTCTATGGTTATATAAATATCATGCAATCTGAAGTTGACATCAGAAACATCATGTTGTCTTTTTTTAACTAATAAGAAGTTTCTTTAGTAAACAAAGATAACACTAGTGTGACAGTTCAAAATTTTTTACGTGACGTCATGAGATATAGCTATCGTACCACCTGTCAGCCATTTGCAAATTTGCTTTGCGTATTCTCGGAAGTAGTTCAGCTGTCAGTGTTATAAGTTTTGTGGTAATTTTCATTTATAACTTTAATTTATATAACTTTCATGGCAGAAAATTGTAAACTATTTATGCAAAACAATGCCTAGGTGCTGTATAATTGGTTGTGCGTCATCAATATCCCGCAAACCGAGCAATATTACGTTTCACCGGTAAGTTAAACACTTTCTTGGAATAACAGTATTTAAAACGTAAGTAAGTTATTTTGAAAATGATTGCGTGTATAAATCGATACATATCGTATTTTGGCGTGTTCTATTTATGCTATATTGCTCTTTTCGTTTATATTTTTATAATATTTCGGTCCGTAAATAATATTGTTTACATGGCTAGTGTCGTTACTTTAACATATGGTTTATATCGATAATTTTAATATTTAAAAATATATTAATTATTTTAGATTACCAAAAGATGAAACAAAAGAGGAAAATGGCCGAGTTACAAAGAAGCAGAAAATATTAAATGTAATGAAAAAGTTACTTTTATCTGCTCACTTCATTTTACGGAAAGTTGTTTGAATCGAACTTTAAATATAATAAAATTACGAGATGATGCATTGCCAATCAAATACTCTCGTAAGAATTTTTGACAATTGCTTTTAACTTATTTAAAAAAAAAATGTCTATTACACTTATTTAATTTTCATTTGATTTTACTGATTTATTTATTTAGTTTTTTATATAGTCATTTAGTTACTTTTATCTGCTCACTTCATTTTACGGAAAGTTGTTTGAATCGAACTTTAAATATAATAAAATTACGAGATGATGCATTGCCAATCAAATACTCTCGTAAGAATTTTTGACAATTGCTTTTAACTTATTTAAAAAAAAAATGTCTATTACACTTATTTAATTTTCATTTGATTTTACTGATTTATTTATTTAGTTTTTTATATAGTCATTTTGTTATTCTATAAATGTCCCTTATTTTTAGTCTTGCGGTCATATGACGACTATTTTAATTGAAAAAAATCAGAATGCAATATGTAATAATATTAAAATATAAAATTCTGATCATAATATACTCCCAGTAAAATATGTAAATAATTTTAAAATGAGTTAAATAATTTTAATAAAAATTAAAATATGCACACTTATTAAATTAAAGGCATAGTTAAAGGTTTTCTTTGCTGTTCAATAGTATAATCTTAATACCCAAATAATTATTTTGTGGCGTGGATGTTTATTTTGCTGATGCATCATAAAATACGCTACCTTTTTGAATTTAAATTGCTGACCGTTATCATGATTGTTCACAGAACATGAATTGCAGACTGTTTTAGTGCTTATAAAATATTTGTATGCTTGCCTATTGATTAATCGGCTGTTTTCTTCTTGTTAACCAAATTTTTAAATAAAATGCCAATTGTTACTTCTTTAATAATGTTACTGTTATGCCAATTGTTACTTATTCATCACCAACTTTGTTTTCTTTATTTTCTCTTGTTTATTCATCAAAGTTTACAGTATTTTTATGTTCTTTTACCAATAATATAATACAAAGATTATGTAGGTGTTTCAAGTTTTCTATGTTTACTACTAAACAAGATGTTCTGAACTAAAATTGTGACACAGTACGCACGGTATCTCTCTTAATGAGGAGGAAGCGAAATTTATTCAGTCAAAACATTTTATTGAATAAATTTATAGACAAGTTGGCTTACTAGTTACAAGCATATAAGAAAGTCGAAACTCTGTGCTTATAGTTCAGCAATCTATTACGGGAAACCTTGTACCGAGAAAAGAAGAAACTGTAAGAAAGGAACCGGTAAGAAACTGCAAGGGCTGCTTTTGCACCCTGTTTAATTTCGTACTGAAAAATAAAAAATGACTTCATTGGACCAAAATGTCACTTTCCACCAAAACAATAAAAAATATATAACAGACAAAAAAAAGCATAATAATTCATTTGTCAATCGACTCATTAAAAGCTTATTATAGTTACCGTGGTAGTTATCTTGGAGAGTAGTCACACTTCCCGTGGATGCAAAATTAAACTTATGTTAAAAAAACTATTTAATTATAATTGCAAAATGTCAACTTGACAATATATATGGAAATAATTATAAAACACGATTGATATTATTGTAAAACTTTTAAGATATATATTTTGGTACTATAGTTCTTAAAACTATGTAAAATTGGCTATATTAGAGGAAAAAGAAACATATTTATCGAGGTACAATCATATAAAATTATATTATTAAATAATATAAATGTGAAAGTTTGTGAGGATGGATGTTGGTTACTCTCATGTAAAAACTACTGAATGGATTTTAATGAAATTTGGAATACAAATAATCTTTTACCCGTGGGAAGCGCCATCATACGCTGGTAACATATGTTATATTTACTATAGTGACGCAAGGGAGTCGCAAGAACAAAGAACGCAAGAAATTTTAGATGTCCAACAAAATACGAGCAAAAGATTGCTTAATGATTTGTAAATAATTGATAAATTCACGCCACTTTTAAAAAAATATTATTTTCTTAATACTGGCGTGAATTTTTCAATTTAATTAATAATAATCATAAATAGGATTGGTACGTAAGTGTGAAATGAATAGAAGTGTAATAGGTAATAGTTTAGCCATGCCCCTAACAATGAAAATTATATTATATTATTTAATAAGTAGTAGTAGCAGTTTCACGAAATACTAACTTTTATTTAATATGACTTCAATGTCGATACAAATATCGATATCTTGGGTCACGCCCTATGACAATCCGCCATCGAAGAATTTGCATTTGAAGTTTAGGCATATACGCTTTTTTCGTCCATTCAATATAACATTAGAAAAAAGAGGATTACAGAAGCAGCAGTGCAGAACATTTTATTTTCAAGATAAATTTTAAAAATATATATAATAGTTTTGTTGAAACTTTGAACGTTAGGTAGTCTGAAAGAGCAATTTTCCATTTTTTTACAATACCTCAGGGTTGAGATGATGAAAGGATTTTCTGTTCTTTCGATTTTTGTTTTGATAAATTCTAATTGTAAGTGTATAATTAGAATAGAATGTTGTTATATAGTTATAAATTTTTATTATAACTTTTGTAACTTTCATTCAAATATTGTTAGATAATTGATTAAGATATTGAAAAAACTTCCTGGAATGTCAGAGGTTGTAGGCCATTCGGACCTGCACTGGAATCGTCCATATTTAGCAAAACTTAACATCAAAAAGATAACAACTAAAACAAAACTATAAGAAAACAACAATAATACAATAACAACTCAATCACGGAATACGGTAAAACAACAAGAAAGGCAATAACATTCACAATTATTGAGAATCCCAGATTACGTATTTTGACTATTACGAATACATCATAATCTGACAATATTAAAAAGCTGTACTACTGAAACATTTGAAGGGATTAGGCAATGTTTTAAATTTAGTAGAGTTATAGTGACATGAGAATTGTGCCGAGACTATCCAACCCTGCCTCTCTAGGTTCTTTAAGATGAACACTTTTTATTGTAAAAGTTATTAAATCTTTTAAGTTAGCCAAATACTCATAATTTTGTTTAACAGATAGCTTAAACAACAACTGTTAAGTATAGCAGCTGGTATTTAAGTGGATATGTAGCAAATAAGCCATCAGTCTTAAGAGTAACATGATTGTTAATATTTTGTCACAAAGTATACCATAAAAATAACCTTATTTAACTTCTGTTTAATGCTATAATTACTGCCATCTAGTGACACTTTGCAGTTTCTCTATTTTTTTAAATACTTATCGTCAGGCTACTGATACATTTACTCTTTGGGCTGCGCTCGATATTTTTATTTATAAATATCACTATTCGATTGAATCGAATAGTAATCGGAGCGAAGCTACAAATAATCTTTATATTGTCTTTTTCGCTTAGATATTTTTAAATTATATTTAACATTGGTTGTTTACGAGATAAAATATAATTTGCGTTGAATTTCAAGTGTATTTAAGTAATGCACACTGATTTATCACCACATTTGCACACTGATGAGTGCAATATTTTTATAAAAAAATTGCAGGATTGTCATGTCGAGGTATTGCTTTACATTTTATTACATATTTTTCTCTTTTTTAATCTTCATTTACAATAAAAAGTTATACCATTGTATTACATTATGTATTATATAGATATTTATGACTACTTGTTAAATCTAGAAATAGTATGTATGTAATAACCTCAAAATATATAGAAAATGGTACATAGCTTGTAAAATATTTCTATAGATTCATGTATAACCTCATTCTTTATAAAATTGTTGAAGGAAATAGATCCGATGCGCTAATTTTAAGCAGTGAGCGTTTGAATATATTTGATATTTTTCTATTACAGCATTCATTCCTGAAATTCATGGGATACTGCAATGATTTTGATAGGGATATGAGAAGGTGCCTTAAAGCAGAGCGCATAAACCGCCAAAAAGCTAACTTAGAAAATTCCCGGAAGCGGCACGCCGAAATACATGCACGCATACGAGCTCAAGAACGTCGAGAAACTGAACAGCGAGCCAAAGAACAGGCTGCATTATAACTCCACTAAACAAACAACTCCCATCGCAATGACAGAATTTAATATCTTAGACTCAATACCAGACTTAACTAAAGTGAAGACATTCACAGAAAGATATTTCACCAAAAGATATATTCTTGACTTTGGTGGAATAAAAAACAATGACATCATGCTCATGTACCATTCTAATAGAATAACCCTTCTTTACCTTGCCCCGAGTCATAGTTTTTTCAAAAAAGAAGGAGAATACAAACTTAATTTTTCCATTGGTAATATTAACCGACTGAATAATGCTGTCAAAGGTAAAAGTAAAAAGGGTGGTCAGCATTTAACACCAAATTCCATAATATGTAAGATAGAGTATGATGATGGCACTAGCTTCGAAGTTCCTTGTGGTATTAAAGGTACTCTGATAGAAATCAATGAACAGTTGGTTGATCATCCAGATGTGCTAAAGAAAGAGCCAGATGATGGTTTTATTGCAGTTATTTTATCAAGTATTGCTAATTCTGAAGCGACTAAGAATGAACTGTTGTCTCATGAAAAATATGTTAAGTTAATAAAAGATGTTAGTAAATAGTTTTAATTTAGTAAAATATATTTTTAATTGCATTTCAAATCTTTTTATTTACACACAGGTACATAAAGCAGGGTTACCATATAATTGAAGTGTAGATCAAAAGCAAAATAATTTGGAACACTTGCAAGTATAATAGCACAACTCATATTTATGAAAAATGCTTAAATAATCCATTAATCTCAGGTACCCCAAGATGGGATTCAAACCCACAACCTTTTGCTTTCTGGGTGACTGCTCTAACCATTGAGCTACCCAAGAGCCAACAGGACTGACAACTTTTTCAAGCACTTTTTACTTTTCGCTACTAGTGAGTATATTTAAACAGTTACCCTGTTTCTGAATTGAGAATTTATATTTGAGAATGTCTCAAACTTAAATATCACTTAAAAAGTTAATGTTTCCGATTTAACTTTTCTTAAAGCAGTTTGATAAAAAGGGACACTTGTGAAAGTTATTGAAAATAATTAATTGAGATTTTGTACTTTTCTCAATTCAGAAACCGACTATTAGTCAATCAGAGCACTGGCCCGTATTGTGAAATGTTGTGAGTTTGAATATTTCAGGGTACCTGGAGCTAGTGGATTATTTAAGCATTTTTCATTAAAGACATCAGTATAGCGTCATAAAAAAAGTTACTTCCTGGACTTTGTCATACCATCTCTGACTTATAACTTCTAATTCTGTGTAATGGTTTCCGCTGAGATTTTTAATGTTTGATAGGTACTTATCGGTTTGATAGGAAATTTGTTGAAGAAGGTATAAATAAACCTAAGTTTATCATTGATACTTATAGCAAAACTAATTTTGATAAAAATTGAATTTGTAAATTCCTCATTTAAGATTTCCTAATAGAAAATAGACAAACCCTAAATTAGCTAATGACGACAGAATTAATATTTATTTACCTAAATGATCCAACATATCATTCATTTATTATCTTTACAGACACTAATGACCCCCGACCCCCGCATAAGCAACTGATAACTGAAACGAACTAGTCGCTTTTCTTTTACAAATAAAAAAATGACTTCAAAAACTTTATGCAGAATTTTAAATTCTAATTTATTCGTAAACAACAGTTTAGTGCTTCGTCGATACAGTGAAAGTGGTAAAGCTGTTAAAACACCATTATATGACTTGCATACGAAATACGGTGGGAAGCTGGTGGACTTCGCCGGGTTCCTGCTACCGGTTCAATATTCCGACATGAGTGTATCAGCATCGCATTTGTTCACTAGGACCAGTGCATCTATATTCGACGTATCACACATGCTTCAGACCAACGTCAGAGGAAAAGATTGCATTGCGTGGTTCGAGTCTATTACACCCGTCGATTTGAAAGGCATGGCTAATGGTACCAGCTCACTTACCGTTTTCCTGAACAATAAAGGAGGGATTATAGATGATTTAATTGTTACTAAGGTGAATGATGAAACTTTATACATCGTTTCGAATGCTGGCCGACTGGAGGTCGATAAGGAGCATATGAGTGAAGCTTCGGAGGTGTTTCGTAAGCGGGGGAAAGACGTGGAAATCGAATTCTGGAATGTTAACCAGAGAGCTTTGATAGCTGTCCAAGGGCCGAAAGCCGTTACAGCTGTACAGGCTCTCACTAAAATTCCATTAGACGACTTGACTTTTATGACGTCAGTGGAAGGTTTCGTGGTCGGTGCAGAATGCAGGATTACCCGTTGCGGTTACACTGGCGAAGATGGAGTAGAGATATCTATACCAGCTTTGAAAGCCGACGTGGTGACCGAAGCTTTGTTACAGAATAAAGATGTGAAACTTGCCGGCTTGGGCGCAAGGGATTCCCTACGTTTAGAAGCAGGATTGTGTCTTTACGGCAACGATATTGATGAGACAGTCACGCCCGTAGAGGCAAATTTAACGTGGCTAGTGTCCAAAAGAAGGAGGAATGAAGGTGACTTTCCTGGAGCAGATATAATACTACGCCAGATCAAAGAAGGTGTCAATAGAAGAAGAGTAGGCATAAGAATGGAAACTGGTGCTCCAGCGAGGAAAGATGCCGTACTCAAGAACACAAATAATTCCGAAATAATAGGCAAAGTGAGCAGTGGTTGTCCGAGCCCTTCATTGGGTGGTAATGTAGCCATGGGTTACGTTAGTGAAACATTCAAGAAGATTGGTACCAAACTATTAGTTAGCATCAGAGGCAAAGACGTTCCTTGTACCGTAAGCAAAATGCCATTCGTTCCAGCTAAATACTACATAAAGAAATAAAATCCTTTTAGTACAAAATTATAATAGTTTTATTTATATTTGTTTGACAAACATAATAACTTTAGCAATCGTTATTATTAACACTGGGATTTCAATTTAAAAACATAAATATATAATATTTCTTTTGCTAACCAATACTATGCTATATTAAGTAAACTAATTGTCAGACTTACGATAAATTATCTAACCAGTATCTTTCCCGAAACAAAACATTAATCGATACTTAAAATAATCAAACTTAATTATTCTATAACAATTTATTTTGAGCAATAATATTATTTTAATTACATATTTACAATACATAATCGCAAATACAAATGTCATTATAAAGTTATTTCATAATGGAATCAGAAGGAATGTAGTCAGGTAGGTGTATATAGATAATACATTGTTTTGAACTTTTATTAATACTGTTAGTCTATAAACTACTTATGTACCACATTATCACAGTCGTATTTAAGGTTTGATCTATGGAATGATCATAGGATAATATATCAGTCAAGATCAATTAATATACTGATCAAAGTATGGGACAAATTGCGATATCAACGTTTCTTTGCAGTCTTTATCTATATAATTGTGTTTCAATGATTAAATAATGTTACTACGGTAAAACACACCTTATTATCATTGCAATATGGCTCATCGATTGACCTGAGCAAAAGTTTAAACTCGCCGTAGATAGCAGCACTAATGCATGTAGTAAACAAAGCCTTTCGAACATTTTGTCATTTGGAAATTAATTAATGATTTCCTGCTTTCTTATATCCAAAAATGCAGCAATTATGTATTATTATAACCACAAAAGGTAATTGATCTACCTGTAAATAAATTTAAAAAGTTAATGACTATTTTAAGGGTCGCAATGCATGGAATTGGCGTAGTGGATAAACGCCGAGGTCCGGAATCGTTGTTGTTAAGCAACTTTCTCAAGGATCGGTCAAATGATTGGTGACCAAAAAATTATAACCACGAGCTACTCCGTGCTTTCGAGACATAAAAGAGCTGATGATGAATGCATGTAATTAACAGCCAAAAGACGTCCTGAACGAGTGATAAGGAAAAAAATTTAGACGATTCAAAAGTGCTTATAATAAGTTTACTTGAGTAAAGAATTTTTCATTTATCAGATAAAATTACACTCTTCTAAATATAAATCCAAAAAATGTTAATATATTGATATGCTCACTTTACTTTTTGCTCACTACTCTGTGAATGAAAGATTGACATTTATAAAAAAAAAATGTTTATTAAACATGCTTTGCTGCAATCTAGCTACAGAAAGTTGCAATAATACGTCTCATTATTCAAGTTACGCGAGTGTTCGAACGACAAGGACGAAAACCGAGTGCATCGTATTTTACACCTTATGTCACTTAAAAAAAGACCGTTTATAAATTCTAATAATACTTTATATTATCGTAGGTAAACGAAGACTTACGATGCGCCATATTGGTTGGGTGTAACTGTTCCAATCTCAATTACTTTTGTCAACGTTCAGTTGAAAATGTTTTGATTTATATTTTGTAGTTGAGAGATTTTTGTTTTCTCGGTATTTATTTCAGATTTCAGTGATAATTAACGAGATACCACAAATATCGGAGATCCCGCGGAATTGAAAATCTATAGGCCCGCAGACACCGAGATTAAATACAGGCTGCAGGATTGGATGCCCTAACTTTTACTGTATTTAATACAGTTAAGAAGTATCTTATACTTGGTAAATTTAGTTTCAATATATATGTAGTGATATATAATTACAAAAGTATTTGTAACATATTAATTTCATGTCAATGATGAAATTACACTCTCCTTTCTCTACTGAAGAAATAAATTGACATTTACATACATGATATTACAGAGGGAAATTGAACTGTATATAAAAGGTCTCATCACAAGTCTCAATAATTATTCTTGTTTCAATTTAAATAGATCTAAAATATAAAATTCATATATTAAATTGTGTAGATAGAATTAGCTTTCATTCCCAACAATCCCTGTGTATTTTAATGTTTTCTATAGCACGTTTAAATAATATATCTTTCCGCTCTAGCATATAACGGTTTTGAGAGATAGAAAAGGATAGGGCGACTTAAAAAGGCGACACCATGCTGCCAGATGTAATAATCCCTTAAGTTAGTAGTTCAATATCAAAATAAAAATAAATTTAAGGTTTTGTGACCTAATACCTCTTTGAAACAAATTATAAACAATTTACAAAATTTAAATGGTAAAGAAGTTTCGCAGATTATTATCGTTAACGATCATTGTGACATAGGATATTTATATGTTAACATATATTTCAAATATCCAGCTTAGAATTAAGATATCCTAGGGTTGAAATTCTTTGTAGAAACGCATCCTTCGTATTCGATGCATCAAATTACTTCTAATAGTAAAATAATTATTGTCCAAACCGTTGGACGGAGATCATTCTGTTATACGCGTTAAAATCGCGCATTGTGATGTCATCAGTTATCAGGCGTCTCCTTGAAACGAGATTGAGCTAAAAGTGCGAAGTCTTCGTTTAGTTTCTTCAATTTTTCAGTATACTGTAATAAATAAATATATACCAGTCAATGAATGTCATGAGATAAAATAAAACTGGCAAAGGAGATCTCCATTCACAGTCCTAAAATTAATCTAATTATTTGTATATAATATATTATTTATTATTGCTCAGCAGCATTCCAGGCCACCTATAGAGGACAAAAAAATGGTAAAGATTATATAAATAAGATTATATAATATAAATATAAATAATATAATAACAATGATAGGAAAGATACAAGATATAACATAATAAAAATTATACATAAGAAGATATTTTTAAGATACGGAAAGGAAATGGCTTTTAACTCTATCGCCAAAAGAGCTCATATAGATATAGATTATATTTAAGAATAATCGTATCTTTCCCCTTTATAAATATTAGTATAGATAAGATTTTCTTACATCACCCTGTTGATATTGCTGAGCTTCAGTTTGTTTGCCGTTGCTCCTCTCCTCTTGTATTCTACAGTTGACATGATAATTTATCTGGTTCTGTAGTTTTATAAAGATCTTTCGATATTCGTCTTGTATTCGGTTCATCTCGTTGCTTATGTGCGCGTCCTTCTTCGACATGTAGTCCTAGTAATAAAATAAAATCCTAATGATACTCTGATGGGTATTTTATTTTATATTAATAACTAATGTTATGTTTATAGTTTACATTTTCAAGTAAACAATAAATGTTTTTATATTTGATAAATTTCGCATCTCAGGGTGCCTTTAAGCATTTTCCATTAAGAATACATGTTTTTGTCTATCATATTGCATTGATTTTTATACTTGATTTTGTTTGTTCTAAAGATTTGATCGATGACAAAGGTTGGTTGTTGGTGTTTTTTTTTTAATTTTTACTCTGCTTGGTTTTTAGCAATAGGGCTACTTAATAATATACAGGGATTATGATAATTATGTGAATGACATTCTGCGAAAGTGACCAATTTTTTTGAGATAGTGACGTACCACGTCATATTCGTTTTGGTGCAATGCAATGGTAAATACAATGCAAGCAAAGGCAATAGAATAAGTGATTATGTTTTCCGCTAAATGAAAATGATCTTTGTTATCGTAGGCTTAACCTCAAATAGGGAACATTACGCAAAGCTCGGCATAGATGGCAGCACTAGCACTTGTAGTAAACGACAAAGATTTTCTAACTTTTTGTCTTTTGTAAAGTAAACGAAGGGATTCCTTCTTACATCCAAATATTAATATTACATATAAAATAATGTACTATTGAATAAAATTGTACTCTCTCCTATCACAAATTAAAAAAAAATAGATTCTACTATAAATACTACATATTACATATAAGTATTACTTTACTCTTTGCTCACTATTCTGTGTATGACGTTTGACGTTTATAAAATAATGTTTATAGCATATGTTAGTGCTGAAATCTAATAAAAATTCACTTAAAAATATTGCAGCTCTCATACCTTTCGTTTGACATTTCTCAATAGCTTTCAAAATATTTGTATCTATCACTTGTCTTAGACAATACCCATTAAGGTTATATTATCTCAAAGGGTTTGGAATCGATTTTGAAATAAGACAATCAGTCCCGTGCTTTTATGGACCAATATAAATGAGAAATATATAATGGTCCTACAATCACGTGATATTTTTTTAATACAATGTTTTTATGCCGAAACATTTATAATAGAAATATTTTCGTCACACTAACGTAGATCATACAATAGTTACGTAGTAAAAAAAAATTAAATTTCCTCTTCAACGTTTGTCATATAAATGTCGCAGCCAAGAGGTATAATCAGTCGACTAATTGGGCGGCTAGTCCTTTATTTGAATGGCGCCATTCAAATAAAATGCTAACTTTTGAAACGCCGAGTAGCTTATAAAGTTCAGCCAACTAATTCATTAGCTGTCTAAATACCTAATAATAAGTACGGAAATTTATTAATAGTATTAGAAGTCAAACAAAATAAATATTGTAATAGATGATTTTGTATAAAGCTCAAAAACTTGTTCCGTTCTGTAATCGATACAAAATATAGGACTGATCAGAGATAATAAAAACTGCTTATTTCCGGCTGGGTGTTAATGGTCCACGTACACTTGCTGAAACGCGACTAAAGTGAAATTCAGGCAATTGCCTTGCTGTTTTGTTGTCAATTTTTAAATTTTTAATACATAATTTTAATAAAACATACAAAACTTACCTTATAAGTAAGAACAGTTTTCTTGACACTCCTATATTTGTCTTGTAAGCTCGCATATTCGGACTGCAACCTCTCATATTTACGCTCCAATTGTGCGCACTTCGTTTGCAATTCCACCATTTTACTCTTGACCGCTTGACATTCTTTCGCGCACGTAGAATTCCTTTCCCTAAAATATAAATAATAATATAATTCGAATATTGACGATAGAAATATATTGATGGTTGACCACTTCATTAACCGGATGGTTAGCACGCTTGTTTCAATGTATCGTTGGACATATCTGAGATTAATTAATATTTTCTATAAGATAAAATAATTTGATATACTACTATTTTATAAAATAATTATAAATATATTATTATCATCAAAATTATGACTGGCGATGACTATAGTTTAAATTGTAAGATTTCTACTAGTACTAGTACTAAAAAAGTTAAGTTTCCAACGTTGTTTGTTTTTAGAGCTTTAGATTTACGGGAAGCAACATCATACTTCGATGCTATAGCTACGAGGGTCGCGGAACATTTTATATGTGACAATTGCGCAACGAAATTACACAATAAAATAGTACAAATCATAAAAATACATGCATTGTAAAACTAGACAATTACATGCAAAATTTCTGATTAAATTAATGTCTAATAATATAATACATTTCAATTTGCTTCAGCCGGCTTATGGTTTAAGAATAGTGTTCATTTTACTCTTCGTTTTAGTTTTATAATAAGATTGATAATATACAAACCTCTCATTTTTTATCAAATCTTCGAGTGAACTCAAGCGTGACATCCTCTCTTTATATCTCTCAGCTTTCAAACGCCACTCGACCACACTGTCATTAGCCTTCTGACACTCCGCTTGCAATTCATTATGTTCCTTTATAAGTACAGATATTTCATTCTCCTTAGATTCTAATATCTGAGTCACTTTAGCCCTCTCGGAGAGTATAAAAGTCTTCAAAGTCTCCACCTCTTGAGCTTTCCTCTCGAGCAACTCCTTCAATTTACTGATAGCACCGAGATGGTCATTCTCCATCTCTTTTATACGTCGAGCACAATTCATTTCCATTGTCTTCATTTCTAATGTGAACTTCTCTGCTATGTGATCTCGTATAGCTTTCTCTTTCAGCATTAAAGCAGTCTGGGAATTCAAAAGTATTGAAAGTTTTTATTAGTGGTCGAGGGTTTAATCGGTAGAGGCGTTGGATTAGTTGGTCGATATGTCAGTGGTGGGGATGAGGGAGCGAGAAGGATGATGGCTGTGGTGGGGATAAGTGAGGGAGACGGATGATGTCTGTGGGGAGGATAAGCCTGCCGGATGAAATTATGTGGTGGGAATTAGAGAGCAATAGGGTAACATAATAGTGTTACAGACGATCTCCACAACCGAGTAGTTGGCACGCCGGTTTCAAAATGTCGCCATTTCTGAGATCCCGAGTTCAACTGAACCAGCCAGGTCAATGTAGAAAATTAAATTTTCTATATTATCTCGGGTCTGGTGTTGTGGTTGTTGTCTCAGGGCTTCAGCTACTCATTTTCGAATCTGAGCAATGTATGTGACGTTGTCTAATGTTTATAATTATCATTATTATCAATACCTTTCTGAATTTTTTATTACCTGATTATTTAATTCCAGGATCTAAAACACCACAATGAATCAGAGTCTTTCTATCCACTTTATATATTTTTAATTAACAATTTTGTTTCTTGCTATATGTAGTGAGTATTATAATTTATTTTATGTAGTGAATTTTAATTTTAATTTACGTATGTTTTATGTCTGCCTATTTATGTGTACATATATATATAGGTTTAAGTCTTAATTTATTTATCTATTTTAAGTTTTATTCTCTCTATAGCCTCTTAAGTATATAATTTTTAGTATGTATATTAGACGTTTATTCCTAATTTCTTTATGTATTAATATACTTTTAAAAATTATTTATATATATTTTTTTATTTTATTTTTACTTACAGGTCTATTCTTGTCAATTGGTGTTTGGGGCATTTGTAAATTACATAGGTGTAGGACAGTTTCTTCTACTCTTGGACTGCAGATACAATCTGATCTATCTTTTAGCTTACATCTATGTGAGTAGTGGACCAATACCTTAGCAGCGAGTGCGTCATCACAGTCCTGGACCAGTTGATCGATGCTCGCGTCTGTGGTGGGGATGGGGGAGCGAGACGGCGACTGCGTGTGAGAGGGAGGTGCCGACGTGTTAGTGCCGACGGTGCGTTGTTCCCGCAACTTGTTGAATCTCTCCATTATGTACTGTTGGAAGAATTCCGCTTTGCCCCTAAGCTCTTTCATTAACTCTTCGTTGCTCTCCTGAGTTGCTACAATAATGTATGTATATGTTATTTAAAAAACACAAGCAAGTCTCGCAAATCGCTAATGGCAAATTGCACCTTGTTTTGAACCTTATAACAATTGACTAATTATGAATAAATAAGAACAAAATACGTTTTTCATAAAAAACAACCTTATAATGACGTAGTAAATCAATTGAGACTTAATAATAACAATAATCATTTACATCAAGCATTGATACTCATATTCACAATCAAATTAGTTCATGCAAATAAATAAAATTGGAAATTAAAATATGCAATAAATTAAAACAAAATTGAATGAAATTCATAGTTAAAACATAAATTCCTTACAATTAGGGGCCGGCCTTGGATATAGATAGACTTGGACTTAAAAAGAAATACGCTCTTTATATATTTTTAAACTCTAAATCCACTATACATACATACTACGAGTACAATGTATTTTTATTCAGTAATTAAAACGATTTTATTCGTTAATTACTAACATAGACATTGAATTGCCGTATTCGTGTAAAGAGTTCATGACAATCATTGATTTCAATCACTCTGATAATGAGGAAGTATTTAAAAAAAAACGAAAGCACTAAAAAGCACCTCCACTAGATGGCGACTCTAGCAAAAGTTGTTTTTTGTAGGAAACGAATGGATCAAAGACAGTCATTTCCATTCCTTTTAACTAATATTATAAAAAAACTGAAATTGGAAAGGTTCGAAACTTAGATCTCAAAACAAATACGAAAAAGTACAAATAGAATACGAATTGTTTATTGAGTTTTGAAAACTAATTTACTTTTAAACATAAAAAAACCTAGTTTGATAGCGACATCTAGTTTGATTTCGGGAACTAATACTTCCTCATTATTAAAGAGAGTAATAAAAAGAGAATAGACATATATTCTCTGATTTGATAATTCATGATCCCTGTGAATATCCTGCTAATTTTGTTATTGCTGTTTGTATATAATTACTTTATTTAAAATTGTTATTGCGATTAATTTGTGTTCGAGCTTATGTTTTTTTTGTTTATTCAAATCTTTGCTGTTAATTTTCTTTTGTATGGACGATATGTGGATGATTAAACACCTAAAGTGTAAGTGTTATAAAGATTATTTGTACACCGCCATCAATCTATAAACCCTATCAGACTTATTAATAAACAAGATTTAGCGTCAAGAGTATTTTCGCTAAAATTTCAATTTAAGTATTATTTCAATTATGAAGAGAATAACCTTCTAGGAGTTAATATTAACCCGTACAACCTCGTACCAGATTAACCTTTGCTAAAACCCTTAATAATAATGCTTAATAAGATGAATTTTGACTAATATTAAGTTCAACCTGAGCGTAAATTTATTCCAACGCTAAACCTTGTTTATTTATAACACTGTATTGGTTATACGCTGTCTTCCTTTAGTATTTACATTGTCACTCACCCAACTTGACGCTGAATTTACTCAATTGTTCATCTAACTGTCGTATGCGCTTCACATACTTCTCACATTGAGTGCACGCCTCAATGTCTTTCCTCAACGATTTTTTCTCCTCTGAAACGAAAAAGATTATTAATATAATACATCAAAAAAATTATGAATAAAACTATTTAAACACACAAAAATAGAAATATGAAATTTTTTATAAATTTAATTTCGACCAGTCATGATCCATAATATGGATATGGATTCCATATCATACGTTCTCTCAAATAATTATTTCTCTCGACTATAGATACAAGAGTTACTATTTATTTATATAATATCGGTATTACATGCTTTAAGAAATTAGATTTTCTAGGAGTTAATTAGAAATAATTCCTAATACAAAAATTTATTTATTGATTTAATGTTATTAAATGAATTATCCTCCATACGCTCTAGTACCCCTTTTTTTACTACTTTGTCGTATAATTGGTTACTTGGCTGTTGTGGAAAAATATTTTATCAAAATAAGACAGTATCATATGATCGGTCATATTAAATCAGATTTATTTTTGTCACGTTACATTTTGACCTGTGACGTCAGATTTCCATAAACATGGGCTCTGGTTGCACTCTCAACAAAGACGTTGATTTTAAGTTTATTGAAATGTGACGTCACACGATGCTCCATTATGGCCGCCCCGCGTTTCAGTTTTTGTAATTTACAAATCATAAATCGCAAATAAATTTTGCAAAACTAAAATAAATTGTTATTATTAAAAATAAAACAACATAGTTATTACCAGTGGTCGGAATTAGGTAGAGTTATTCATGCGCTTACACTGATTTCATACAGCGAAAGAATAAAGTGGATATTGAGGCATATAATCCCGAGATTAATTTTAAAGAGCAGAAAAAATCCCGTGATTTTTTAAATAAAAAGTTATTTACTTTTACACAATTTAAACTACTGCACGCACGACGTTGCCAAACTTACATCAATGAAAGAAAGAAATAAAGAAATTCCGGGAAGGTCCACATTAATATCAACATTTCGATGCAAGTACATAAATAACTCTACCTAATTCCGACCTCTGGTTATTACCTACATAAAAGTTACCATTTCCAACATGTTTCATAATTTATTGTTGTAATAGGGGTGTAGACAATTTTTATATATTTTTTTGTGATTATCGGTAATAGTTAAATATTAAACACTACCAGGAAAATAAAAAGAATATGTATTTTTTTTTAGTTTACTGTCTACACCCGTATTGTCAAGTAGCCAATTTAAGCATAACAAACAGCTACTTTTACATGTATAATATTTATTAGTAAGAAACTAATGATTATAACAACCTTCCAGATATTTGTCGAGCTTATCTCTGAACTCTATTTGCTTGTCATTAAAATCTTTCTGCAACTCAGATATCCTCTTGTTGGCCATCTCTAATTCTGCTTTAGTATTAGTCAATTCGAGTTTCAATTTCTCCATATTTTGCTTCTCACTCTCTATTCGTTGTATGTACTCTTTCTCTTGAGATTTGAACATTTCCTTCTCTGTATTGATTTTACTTTGCAACTCTTTAAATTCCCTTGTGATACTATCCCGGGAACTGCATGCCTATAAATCAAAATGTTAATTACTTAATTTTTTTAATTATATTTTAACTTCCTGGTGTGTTGGATTCTGTAGTAAATAAAATGGAGTATGTAGTAACTAAATAAATAAATAAATAAGTCTCAAATGCGCCAATTTATAGTGCTTGAATTTATAACACAATATTTATGGGTATTACAGTGCATTAATGATGTAAAGAATATGAATATAAAAAAAATAATTGGAGATAATTTTGTGAGGTAAACAAAATAAATATCGATTAATTTTCTATTTTTAGAAAAACTTACTCAATCTCATAATCGCATTCTCAGTTGTTACTTTTTATAATTATATTATTTACTGCCACTTTCGTTATTAATATAGTTTAAGGTTCAGTTTTATACATATTAATTAAGAATGATCTATTTAGTAACATTTAAAATGAAATTATTTCGATTATATGACAAGTATAGTTTATTCACTTGAACACGTATTGATTGCGCACGTAGTTAAGTTGTAATTGCGTTTTTATACTCTAATATTCTTAAATCGTTTGAGTTTATATTTTGTGATTGTGTGTGATATACCTGCAAGTATAAGTTCTTCAACTCCCCGTTCTCCCTAAGCGTGTCCTTCAGTTTGTCCCCGCATCGTTCCAGCTCCCGCAGGAGGCTAGCGTTGGCTTCCTGTGCCATAGAAGCCCTACTGCCCTTCTCACTCTTCAACTTATCATAGTCCATCTCTAACTCTGTGTATTTCAACTCCAACTACGAATCGAAATGGAAAGATCATTATCATTATACTTATAAAGAGGAATAGTTTCTAACTTTGATTGTTTATAGGGGGTAAATTTTGGAAATACTGATCTGATCATAAAAAATCTATCACCTACGGGAACTAAATCATACGTGGGTATTATAGCTATGTAATTTACACGGGCAAAGTCGCGGTAAAATTGCTAATATAAAATACAGATGCGAGAAATTAAACAACAGAAAGACGAGAGTTATTCACAAATTATACTTTAAAGAGTGCGGTTTCCTTTTTCGGTATGGAATTCTATGAATAGGGCGCATTACTGCAACTTTCTGTCGCCAGAGTGCAGCCACTAGTAGTCAATATTATTTTTATAAACTTCAAACTTCATTCACAGAGTAATGAGCAAAGAGTAAAGTAATAGTGATCATAGTTGGAATTAAATATTTCTTGGATTTAATTATAAAGAGTGTGCAATTATCATTGTTTTATATTTTGGATGCAATTAGGGATTGCATCATTCATTTCTAAAAGACAACATTTTCGAATTTTGTTTTTCTACATATACCACGTGTTACCATGTACCACATATACCACGCATTACCTACGTGTTACCATCTACGCCAAGCTTCTATTCATAGTATAAAAGATGTCGTTTCCCGTTGTCTCTACGTGAGATCTTTTAAACTACACAAACGATTTTAATGATGTTTTCATCAATATACCAAGTGATTCAAGAAGGTGATAAATGACAATACTGGATCACGTGATCGAAACCGCTGTAGCAAAGGTAGTATATAATATTCCATATAATATCTTAAAAACCAAAAACCTTTTTATTATCACTTCTGATCTCTTCCAACTGTTCCTGTAGTCGATCGTTCTGCAACTTGTAACTCTCCAGCAGTTCACTGTCCGTATTACTGCCGAGCAGTTCCAGCTTGTTCTGGAGAACGGCCAGCTTAGAGTTCAGCTGTAACTCTACACCCTTCTGTTCCTCAATCCTGGAGCGAAGTTCCGACTCTTGTTTACGATGGAGCTCCAGTTTTTTATCACTGAAATATTTCCAGAATAGACATGCGTCCGGTTTAAAAAGAGGTTAAGTAAATTTTATTATGAATTTAATGCTTTAGAATAATAGTTGTGCAAAATGACTACGAGTATCATTTGTGATTTTCTTCTGTTGTCAATATCGTAATCGAATCGATAATATCGAAACGAGACATAATTTAACTGTCAATCTCCCTAATAAATATACTGATAATAATACTCGTAATAATTGACATTATATTTACGCAATAACTGCATTCAATGCACATTTGCTTAAAAACAATATCGATTCGTCATATTAATCGAATATTGTAAGCAGAATACCTCACTACCAATTTCAGATTGACAGATGTCAAAAGTGGATGCATAAAATGACACAACTGCCCCGCGATTCTGTAAAAATCCAGACCCGAATTCGAATTCACTCACGTGTCCGACTCGTTAAGTGTAGAAATTCTATTGATTCTAATTTTGATGTAAAAATACAAAACATAATAAATGGATATACGTGTCTCAGATATTCTTCCTATGTCATTTAGAAACTCACTTCACTTATGCCATAAAAAGTTATTACCAATTCAAGGTTGAGCAGATGCCGCTTTCTAAAGTGAATTCGATTTCGGGTTATGGGTTTTTACAGAATCGCAGGGTTGTTCGAACATGTTTTAATATTATTTCGTTCTCGTCAGGTAAATTAAAATTATTTATTAAATAGTGAAAAAATTACGGTACATTCATATTACTCAAACGTTATTTACCTGAGCGAATGTGACAAACAAGTCTACATATAGGGATGTCTATTTTACAAAAAGTTAACATCGATATAATAGCACCAATGTATTATTTAGCAAAATAAATAACATATTATAATTGATATGTCTGAGGTTCTTATTTTATTAATTTCATAATTTATTATTGTTAATAGATTTTAGCTTTTCATATTTTTTTATTTACACTTATATTTAATAAGAAATTAACACCTACGTCGTAACTTTATTTTTATAACTTAAGAGTGCAGTGAAACAAAAAATTCATTTATCAATGAGTACATATAAAGTGGTATAATAACACAACATATAAATTGAATGTATGAATTGTGTTTTTGTTAATTTTTCATAGGGTTTCATGAAATTCTATTTTCAGTGTTTTACAAAACTGACTATGCATTTGTATAATATAATGATAATATACCGTTTTGATATTTCTTCTTGTAATGTCGTCAATTTCTGTGTTTGTGTTCTATATCTACTTAATATTTCCTTGAGCGTCGTCAATTTGCCAGGAGATGGAGATTCTCCTATAAGAAAATAAAAGATTTCATGTTAAATTATATTTACTACAATAATACATGACACCTACATGTACAGTACTAGTGTAAAATAAACTTTATTCAAATATAATTATTAAAAATACATACTTGTGAATAGTCCAACATTTTTAACCTAGAAGCGATTTAGAATAGGGAGACAACCTGAATTGATTTCGCATCTCGATGAGTCTTATAACGAATAAGTCCCAAGTAGCATTTTGGTAATTTTAACTTTTTAACGGTAAATGCTTGCTTTATGGGTTCGACAAAGTATAACATTAGAACAATATTATAGAAACTGACAAGCTACAGATGGGGTGAGTAGGGGGGGGGGGGGGATGTTGGATAAAGTAAAATTTCAAATCCGTAAATGTTTACTGTACTAACCCATATAAGCACCATCAGGTAATACTTCAGCCAACATCTGATGTAGCGTTGTTCTCCAATTGTCATACTCCTTTTGTACGTTGGACAATTTATTTCTACATAGTACCAGTTCGTGTGCGGTGATTTCTAATTTTGACTAAACAAAGCATCAAATGTATTATAATTCATCATCATAACATATAAGCTAAAAATATTATTAGCATTCGTACGTCGGATCCATATCCGGCTCGAAGGACCATGCAAACAGTAGGCGGTAAACAACATTTTAAACATGCGGTGTGGCAGACCATAGAGAAAAATGATAAGAAAGATTTGTTTTGTCAAAGCCTTTATTGAATATACTATAAATTACATACTGAAAAATTTCAATATGTAAATTAATTTCTACAACTAAACCAGCTCAATGAATGTCAGAGTAAAATGCTGGTGACTCTTAAAACCGCCATTTACTGGGTCCTATTGATTAAACTGATAATAATAATTGTAATGCTATCTCAGCACTCGGTAGTGCAGTAGTTAAGAGCGTTCAGTCTGCAAAGTGAAAAACTTTCAACACTTTGCTGTGGAAGGCATGTTAAGCCCAGCTGCATCTGAAGTCGTTTACCCATCCTCACTGGGCTCGCGTAGTGGGTCATGGCCCATTCTCCCTATTCCATCAAAAGGTAGCAGTGGGGATGTTCAAAAAAAGTTAAGTAGTAATAATGATGTGATGTAACTCACCCCCAACTCCTTGACTTGTTCCTTAGCTGTGTTCCTTTCAACGGTCAACTGTGACACTTTCTCCTTGAGTTTAGCAGTTTCACCGCTCACAAGTTTCTTCTGTGCTGATTCCAGTTCGTTCACTAAACGATTCACTAGAGCACTCTTCTCCACCACTATTTCTTCTTTCTCCCTCTCGATGTCCTTACATCGTCTCTCTAAGACTTTGATATCCTCCACCTAAATGTTTTTTATCAAATGACCATCAAATCAAACAGAATATTTACAAGAACAAAAACAAGACTTAAGCAAATATATACATACATATATACAATTCATAAACAAATGAGAGAGTTGACAATATTTCAAAACATTCATTCATTATTTTAAATTAACTATTACAGATAAATACCACAGTTTTCGTATTTCTTTTCTTAATTTTTAATCAAACTTTTAATACAAATAAAATGTGATTTATCAGTAGCTTATTAATTAGACGCAAAAACGCGGCAATTTGATCTGTGACATCATTCAAAATGGCAGCCATATCATTTTGAAAAACATTGACTTCTGGATCGATTCAAATCAAACCTAATTTGGTATAAATAAAGAAGTAATTAAATAGTATTATAAGTGTCTGCGTTAAATTATCATATTGTGTTGGATATGTTTGAAAATATCATGTTTAGTTGAATATCGATCTTATTTAAAGATTTAAAACTTCATTTTATCGAGATATAATCTTGACATGATCGATTTGAATAGATTTTTTTTTTCAAAATGAATCCGCGTGCCTCATGTCATCGTGAGCTATTATGTGGATAATTTCGCTTTTGTACTGGTCGTATGAAACTCATATTTTTAAATAGGAAAAATATTTAAAATATGCTTTTTTAATATATTTTTTTTAGATTTACATTATATAGACACATAATTTATATTATATTTCGTCAAATTTTGCATTAACAATGCGATATTGGAAAATATTCTTAATGAATGATGCTTAAAAATCAATTTTGTCGCTGGTACTCTTAGATGGGACTCGAACCTATGACCTTTAGAAATCCGGGCGACTTCTGATTGCGAAAGTTCATGGGTTCGAGTTCCATCTCAAAGTGCCAGGGACAAAGTGGATTTTTAAGTATTTTTCATTAAGAACATAATATATACTTTTTCATCTACAGTCAACTAGTGGACTATTACCAAAACAATATATATATTCAAAATCTACTTACTTTATCCTCTAGTCTGTTTTTTACTTTCAATAAATCATTCTGTAATCTGTCTACCTCCTCTCTATGTCTGAAAAATATTGATCTTATAAAATATTCTTTTTCTATTAGCTTCCAATTATAAATATAATAAAAAACAAATACCTGTCCTGTTGTTCTCTAAAAAGCGCATCTGTATCGTGTGTATGAGCAACCTGAAACATTCAAATAGGACGACAATTTTAATGAAGTATAAACGTCGATCGTAATTTATAATATAGATTTACTAGCTTTCGCCAGCTGCTTCGCCCGAGTGCTCCCTAGGGAACTATTTAGTGAGTTAATTCACGCTCAGAAGTATCCGTATACCAAATTTCATCAAAATCCGTCCAGTAGTTTTTAAAGTAACAAAAAGTTTGTTTGTAGAAGTAATAAACAAACATACATTTTTTCATCGCACATTTGACATTAACCTTAACAGCAATAATGTGCAATCCAACCTTTATGTTCCCGCGATAAATTATACCTTTCCCTTCATAAATTATAGTCTATGATACCCCCACGCATATTCTGCGCCGCTTGGCTATGGATTTCTAACAATTAAATAACTTATAAGCGAAGCCATTTAATAACCTGTAATCTCTATATATGATCTATTGTCTTTATCTTTTTTTTTATTTCAGGCACAGACTAGTGTGCCTTTACTTTAATATAGGAGATCCGGCAGTGTCGTAAATTTTCTGTTATTTTAAATAATTCCGAAATGTTTAATTTGTTTAATTCGTACCTGAACAGTATGCAACCTTTGCTGGACGTCCTGAAGGCTGATGTTGGCGGAGCGCAGTTCCATTTTGAGCTGATCCTTCTCTTGGTCACTCTCAATCAGTTTATCTGTGAGTGATGTCACTTGTTGTTCCAACTCTATCAATTTGTGCTTGGTTGATGCTACGATATATAATATATCAAAGTTTATTTTTAAAGTCTAATTTAAAAAAATATCGCAATCCCTTTCAAGTGATCATTCAGATCATCATTCGTTCCGATAGTGGTTCTCGTAATAAGACAAAATGACAGACAAACTTTGAAATATTGTCAACACCCGATGATGCTTTTTGATCACAAATTCTATAACCGACCGTTGCGAAAAATACCTAACATCAGCATCGTACACAGAACGAACTAACCACTACGTCATTTATTAAGCTCAAATAAATAATATAGTACCAAGTAAATGATGAGCTTCCTGTAAGGAAAGTTCCGCTTTATCTCTGTCATTGATGGCGGCGGTGAGACGCGCCCGCAAACTGTCCACCTCTGCGTCAAACTTCTGCATCTGATCAGCCAACTGCTGACATTCCTTCACACGCATCTGACGAACAAATGATCAGAATTGTTGCAATTTACCATTCGTTCGACAGAGAACTTGGGGATATATATTCTTTCAAGCAAGAACATTTAACAAAATCGATTTACTATTGACGAGGAATAAACATACAAAAAATATTCAGGTGAATACGGGTGTAGACAGTAAACGAAAATAAATACACATATATTTGTTTTACCGATAATCACACTTTTATGATTATTATATTTATAATATTGCTTAAATTAATTATGAAAAAACAAATATTATACAATCGTTGTCACGTGACCGCAAACAGCGCGTGACGTCACGCCCCTCTTACTCATATCAGAACTTAGAGAATTAAAACCACATAGAACGATCTTATTTTTGAAGGGGCGTGACGCCATGGCAGAAGTTGTCGTTCACACGGAAAATTTAGAAAAGTTAAAGTGATATTTAGATTTTAACTTACTATTTACTATTTATACTATTCAACTTATTATTATCTATTAAATAAAAATATATGAAAAACCTGTGACGCCCCTAATGGTATAATCCGTTTTTAGAACTCGGTTAAAAATAATGTTATCGTTCAAAATAAATATTCTTACCTCGTACATTACTTTCAACTGTTGACTATTCATTTGCTCTTGTCTGGCATCAAAATTGTTGACGCCATTAAGATGTCCTGAAAAGAAGTATCCATCAATTAAACAACTCTTAATTGGTTCTCCCTCTCTCTAAATTCGTTCCCTCGCTGCTGAGGATCGTGACTCATCAACTCGTTCTAATATAAATCAACATAATCAACATACAACAACCTGAATATGAAGTAAGCGTGTTCTTTGTGCTGCGGAGGTAAGCAGTAAGCAACTTTCGTGACGCTTTGTCATAGAATAGGTGACCAAAAAATCTCGAATTCTTCCATGCTTCAACACATTAAGCCAATGAACCCGACTACATCTGCGACTGACAGTTGTTAATACCCACTAAACCGCACTGAGACTGTGTAGTTAATTATGGCCCGGTCTATTTGATTGAATGGCATAGGGGAGGCTTGTGCCCAATCAGACGGTCTCATCAGTAATAAATGGGCTTCAATCCAATGAAGGTATAATATAGCATAAATCATTATTTTTGTATATTCTTTACTTAATTGACAGTAGCCACCCTTGATGATTTTTTTTACATTTTAACAAACAAATTCATAAAAATCGGGACTGCCCTGGAATATTCGGGACGGGTGGCAACCCTGCTTGTGCCCCAGCAGTGCATTTCAATAGGCAAAAATTATGATGATGATGAACTAATATGCACGTCTTGAATTTTATATTCACCTTTATTTTGATAACTATAAGGTGTGAATATACAACGCTGTCAGTTGCTTACACACTCGGCAAAGTCAAGCGACAGCGCGCTATTTGAATGATTTTGATTAGCCGACATTTGCCAATTTTTTGGGGCAATTAAAAACGTGCTAAAACATCATATAATCAATAAAAAGTAAACCCTGCAAAAGATTGCTTCCTAACCAACATAGTAAAGAAATACCTCTCGATTCATGCTGAAAATAATGATTCTGCGCATCACCAGCTCCATATGGACTAAAAGGTAGTTTGAGCGGTTCCTCTTGTTGTCTCATATGAGGATTACTCTTAGGAGTCTCACAGTATGCCTTAGGAGTATCCTGCTCCTTCAAATGATGTAATGATTCAACATAAGTCGGAGGTAGACCACTTCGAGTATGTTGTCGAACTGTTAAAGGAGATTATGTGTTAAAAACTGCAGATCGGATATGCAGCAGTCAGTAAACAGTGGCATTCAGATATGTTAATTACTATAGTGGTTCTACTATACATTCAGAGTACACAGAGAGGATAAACTATTAAAGATTGTGGTAAAAAAGCAAAATTAAAAGTATGATACATTGTGCCCCTTCTCACACAGCGCTATTGAAAACCGTCCAAGTGCGAGTCCGACTCGTACACGAAGGATTCCGTATCGATTACGTGCAAAAAGATCAAGTTTGTTGTATAGGAGTCCTTAAATATTTATGTTTACATCATCAGTGAAGAATCCAACTGTATAACTATGAGATACAGCCTCATGACAAACAAATGGATAGACAGACTGACCGATGGACAACAGTGTTACTAAATGGGTTTTGGTACGGAACTCTAAAAAGAAGGTCTACTCTGTTTATTGGAAAACGAAATATCGCGTTTTTTCGAAACTCTAATATGACTTCAAAGAAATTAGTGTCCGTCCAAAAATTCGGTTTCGGTCGAGTTTCGGCAAAATAAAACGGGTTTTGGTTTCGGTGACATACCTGCCGAAACTACGACCGAAACTGCATTGGTGATTTCTCGCGCTTTGATCATTTGCCCAGAAATGAATTTTTTGAAGTCTGAAGCTTGTTTATTTGCAAGCAAGTTTATTTTTATTTCTTGTATTAAGATTTTGAACACTACTTTTTGTGAAGGAATCGTAGTTTTCTTGCGTACATAATATTTTCATATACGTATTGAGAGGCAACAGATAAAATATTTATTTCTTTAAATATTTGCCATTTACCGTAAATTATATATAGTGCGGACAGCTCTCTTTTGTAGAATTAATATATCTTGAATGCTAGCCGCAGAGCCCCACAACAATAGGCCATATGTCATTACACTATGAAAATAACTAAAATATACCAATCCTGCTATTTCAACATTTGTCAAGAGTCTAATTTCTCTCATAATTCGTCAAGAGTTTAATTCTCACACAAATTCTTCTTAAAGTGAGGAAGATCATTAATGTAAATTAGAAAAAGCAATGATCCTAATACCAATCCCTGAGGTACGCCCATAGTAATGGCTGCCCCTGTAGATTTCGCTGCATTAATGACTACTTTTTGAATTCTAACAAAAATATATGATTTTATTAGATAGTGAATTTTTCGACGCACCGTAATGCTCTAATTTCCCCAACAGTGTTTCATGACTAACGCAGTCGAATGCTTTCCACAGATCGCAAAAAATGCCAATAGCAAGCATCATAGATATGTCTTAGAAGTGCAATTCTAGCGTCTGTGGTACATTTGCCTCTGCTAAAACCAAACTGATTTTTGTGAAATAATTTAACGAAAAGTGTGCAAATAGTTGATTGGAAATATTTTTTATATGTATGTATTTATATGTAAATAATTAAATCAGGAAAAGTTCCTTCATCAATGCACCTATTACAAAAAAAAAGTTAATTGAGGCGCAATAGATGGTGTTACAGATTTGGTAACATAAGTTGAAACGCCTCAAAGATCTTCGGTTTTTTTATTATGAAACATTAGGGACCTATTAATGGAATTAAATGTTTTAATAATTAAGTTGTCGTTAACATGCTTAAAATAAAATTCAGTATTGCACTTATCAACAACTGAATCTAGATGGGTGACCGTAAGTCTAGAACATGTACTAAGATATCTAGTGATTTGTATTGGTTAAGACAAGGAATTTCTCAAATGTATCGGCAACCGCGTCATCTGTTTTAAAAACTTTATTATCAACCTCTCATGTGCGAATATTACATTTATTATTCCCCGTTTCTTGATTTATGATAGTCCAGGTTGTTTTTGTTTCAGATATATATTTTGCTTGTACTGAAAACATACTTTCCTAAAAAATTTTGCATAAATTCTGACGTATAAACTTTGGATCAGTCGAGGTACACATTAGCCCATAGAAATCGTACAGCCTATTTCGACTTTTGTAGATGCCAGGTGTACCCATCACTAAATTTCTTCTTTTGGTTACTAAAGTTAATTGCTTTGAGTTTAAATGCTTTGTCTAATTCTCCTTTTATCAAGTTAAGAAAATATATTATGGGCATCATTTATATTTCCCAAATTACTAGCTGTCAACTGAGTTTGATTTGTAGAAACAGTGTATTTATTTTTTTCTAAATTACTTTTGGTAATAGGTTTACAAATTGTAAGTATTCCATTTAGGAGAAACATGATAGTGCTTGAAAGTTGCTAGAACTCCGCTCTGGTCAGATCGAATACAATTTACTATCAATTTTAAACAACTTACATTTACAAAAAATATTATCTAAGTAAGTAGCATATGTGGGCGTAATGCGGGTAGGTTCATTCAAATATTTTCTAAATAAAAACATTTAAACAAGTTAAAAAATCTACTTGATTTAGCACATTTTATTAAAATATCTACATTAAAATCACCACATATTCTTATAAACTTTGCAAACTAATTTAAATACATCCTACATAGAAGATTCAAATTGACAGTAGCCCCATCAGGTGGTCTATATGCACATATAACATACTGTTAGAATTACACACATGACAATTCAATATGTTATTTAATTGAGAGGGATACTATATCTTTAAATTCTTTATATTTTAATTTATATATTTTCCAAAACTGTATCTATCTATATGAGTCTGTATCATTCATTATAGACTTTATTATTATACATCAAAATTATTTTGATTACCTCCTCGGGCCCTTATTTCATTAAAATATCTTTTCATGTTTTGGGTCAAATTAACCCTTGTCGTCTTTTTATGTAAGCTATTTTTCCCGTCTTTGTTAAGTGTTAACGTCATACCTAAAACACTTGGACTATTAAAAAAACAAACGATACTTCAATTATGTAATCTGCATAGCGATTCTGGATATATGAGGTAATAAAGAATCCTATTAATCCTATTAATATTATAAATGTGTAAGTGTCTTTGTTTGGATGTTTGTACGTCAATCACGCCGAAACTACTGAACGGATTTTGATGAAATTTGGTATACAGATAGGGTGTTAGCTGACTTAGATAATAGGATACTTTTTATCCCACTTAACATTTCCCTAGGATCCACGCGGGCGAAGCCGCTGGCGAAAGCTAGTATTACATGCATATAAGTACATATACATAAACGTATATATAAACGTAATACTTTTTTTGCATTTGGATAACACCGGTTATCCAATTTCAAAACTGATTATAATACCGGTTTCTTTATTTTTCCCTTAAAACATGATCTTTGAGTTTCGGTTTCTACTGAAACTGAAATTGTTGCCGAAATTCGGTTTTAGTTTCGGTCATAAAACCAGTTTCAGTCGGACCCTAAAACATGCATATTTCTATAATTTATGATGCAACGGAGGTAGGGTATGTGCGTCAGGCTTAATTTTTAAATCTTTTAATATTAATTTGAATATACGAAATAATAAAATCAAGATTTTTTATTAATAAAGTTATTAGCCTTCTATCCTTATCACTCCTGCGCAAAGATTACAGCTCAGCAACTGTGACGCCACCGCCTTGATTATATATTTTATTAGTTTATACCTCAGTAAACTAATAAAATTTTTGTTTGTTGTTCTTATGAATTCAGTTTATTTGAACTTGATACCATGTATTAAAATGATAAATCTTACATTACCCTACTGGTAATTGATTATAGATATTTCATTCTTACCACCATTTTGTCCTGCATCCAAAGTAAAATTGCCACTGCTATTCACAGAGCTAGCTTCGTCATCATCTAAGAGGTCATCAAATGCATTTGCCAGCTTGTGTTTTAACTGAAATTTGAAGATGATGAAATTTATTGAATTATTATGAATTAAATTAAAAAAGTAATTACTAATAATCCAATCAGTCTGCATGATCCCGATATTGCTATTAAATTGTTTTTGTGTGTTCTTCTGCAATCACTATCAAACCATAAGCAGATATCGTGTAAGCTATTAGTCGTGTAGAGCGTATCCTCCATCGAGGATATCTACCTGGGATATTATGATATTTGAGAATTGTTATATCGGTTTCGGTTATGGTTACAGATATGATTTCTTTTCGAATTATCAGGTAATTTCAGTTACGGATACTAGATTTTTGAACAATTTTAGATATTAATTACGTTATATTTCTAGAGTATAAACAAAATTCTTACAAAATGTCAGATTTATCAGGTAGTTAGCTAGTTGCACCAACATCCATTAAAAATGTCATTAGTTTAAAGCGAATTTACCTATACAAATTTTACAACCATTAGAGCTTAAAGACGACATTACACCTTATTGGACGTTTGTGCAACTGACCGACTGAAAAGCATTTAATAACTTTACGTTATCTTGTTGTGGCAATGTGGAATTCTCTAAGGTTACTGTGGGACAGTTTTCTCAACGGAGTGTAAAGGTCACATGGCCTGATTTTGTTGCACTGACTTTAACTTTCCGTTTTCGTAGAAATTTTGTAATGGCATCAAGTCTTTTTTGAAAGATTTCAGAAGTTTCACGAGGGTTATTACTGCTTGCCAATATAGCTGTCTCATCAACATATGTAGAGGTTATGATTCCACCTACATATAGCCTACAGCCATAACTGTCTCCATTCTAATAGGGTCTAAGGTATATATAGTGTAAAGAACTGGTTCCAACACAGAGCCTTGGGGTACTTCTGCTTTTATATCAAAGAATTTAGATTTGCTTCAGACTGTTTTACTTGGAATATTTGTCCCCTAAGATATAATTTTAGAAGGACATAGTTACTATGTGGAAGACTTATTTTTAATTTACTCTGAAGTTCCTTATGCCAGACTTTGTCGAAAGTCAAGAACACTGATGAGCAGTATTCTTTTTCTTCTTATTTTTTCCACTTCTGTGTACTTACTCAATGGTAGAGTGTTGCTTCCAAATTAATTATCTGGAATTGATTTGTTGTTCTGTAAAAGTTCTGGAGAAGCAATTTTTCCAGATTTTTGACAAAACAGGCAACAGACTTATTGGTCTGTAATCTATGGGTTTCCCTGTTTTATGTGTCATGAGGATTTGTGATACCTTCCAGAGGTTCGGAAAATATTGTACCCTCAATATTCCACTATAGTGCATTGTCAAAAATAATATTGCCTTTCTTGGAAGTTTTATCACAATCATTATTATATGTAATGAATGTATATTATGTAATGAATTAATATCCTGGTGCATTTTTATTTTTGACTTCCGGGATCATCACTGGGGTTGGAGGGAGAGAACAGATTTGTATAGTTTGGTTGAGTATATTCTCTACTTCGTATATATCAGCTAAAAATATTTGCTAAATGATATGCAAATAAGTCTGCCTTTTTTGTGCTGTGCTCGCTCTGCCGCTATCCCTTCTAATAGAAGGTTTTGGTATTTGTGGCCTATCATACATTTTTATGAATATCCACAATGAATAAGTGAACAAAGTAAGTGTAAGTGACACTAGTTGTTCCTGGAGTGTACTGTTGCGCCAATTGTAGAGTATTTTTCTCAGTTCTATTGCCTTGTAGTGCCATTCTGTTTTCCCTTCAAAACGCCTTTATCTTTACCTTTAGCCTTTACTTAAATGGCAGCATTTTTGCAGAGAAAAATATATTTTATATACCTGTATACTTTTCCTTTAAAACATTTTGAATCCTCACAAAATGGTCTTTTGATCAAGGACTAGTAATAAACACAAAGAAAACTACTATACATACATACAATTAAAAATAAGAAAAAAATCATCATTATAACTTACAGCCCACTGCCATACTTGTCTCCATTTTAGTATGGAGGTTTTGGGATGTTCTTGTGAAACTATAGAGGTTGTTAGAGAGCACATATAATAGGGAGTGAAAATCAATGATAGGATATCTTGGAGAGAACAAACTATCAGCATATGTGAAAAGTTATGGGTAATACTTGCAAAATTATCAATACTGAAGTATAAAGTTAGTTTTAATATATTGATTTTAAATGATTTTAATTCTGATTAAAAAAAGGCTATAATTTATACTAAAGGTATCAAAAGTGTCTATAACAAAAAAACATTATAGTATATACTTTTTTATAATAATGTATATGGGAAAAGAACAATGAATTAATTAAATTCAAACTTATTTAATCAACTCCCTTTTAATATATGTAATATGTAGAATACAAAATTTTAATAAAACAAACTTAAAAAATATATTTGAAAAATATTTTATAGTCAAATTGGTGAATTAAACTAAATTTAATAGTACTTTACATAAAAATAAAAATTATTTGATAGTTAAACAGTGATTTGTAGCATATCCTGTACAAATAACACAACTGATGAGTGAGATTGTTTATATAATTTATATGTGTGATAGAAACTGAATACCAGGCTTGAGTTGGCCCAGTGGTTGTATGCTTATCCTAAATATTTTACAGATCCCGTTCGTTCATTGTTCATTTACATAAGTAATTTAATAATAGAGAATGTTTAAAGGTTTTAATTAAATTTTAATTGTGTAAATGCTAATTGATTTACTCAATGTTACTAACCGATAACCATAGGCAAACTGTTTCATACCTGCTAATATAAATAAGCCGTTAAAGTAGTGCACAGACAAACCTTTCTGGTTTTTATTGCACTAAGTGATACAATTGACATGTAATTTGTTATTCATCAATAAATATAAAAAAGCAAACCTCAATGTAAGATTATGTTTTTAAGAATTAGGATAAAGAAAAACTGAAGTACAATTCCTATTATGGTGATTATAAAGAAGCTTTTCAAATTATAAGTAAATGGATAATTATTGATATTAATAATACTTTAATAAAGTATCAAAAATATATAGGTTTTAACAAAATGCTAGCTAATAACAACCAAAGTGAGCATGTTATGTGTAATTACCTCTTCGTTGCGTCTCTTTTGATCTTCTAGTTCCTCTTGCTCCTCAAGTCTATCTTGAGCACTGTTATTTATGTGAATGCTGGCTGCTCCTTGAAATAAGCTCATTCCAGGCCCCTCCATAATTGAGGATACTCACAAAATTTGTAATTTAATAAAATAATACAATCTGCATACGTAAGATAAGAAATGTAGTAGCTTAATAACTTGTTAGCATGGTCCGTCTTTCGTACGTATTCCTTTGTTTACAATCATATCATATGATTTTTTATCAATATCACACAAATAGTCACGTCCAAATATTGTATGATTGCAACGGTTTTAATACTCTTTGCAAATGGTAAATAAAATATTTATTTATTTTTATTGACATTTGAGATGAGCATTAGTAAACAATTATGGCGTCTACATAAAATTTGACATTTAATAGGGTTGGGAAACATATGTGGAAGTATTTAAAAAAAAAGATTAGTTCTTGAAATCATACTAAATGTCACTCGCGATGTTTGGATTTTGTTTATGATATTCATTCAAATTTTTTTATGATATTTATTCGTAATAAAAGTAAATTGAGTATCTAAAATTAATAAAAATGACATCGTTTTGTGTTTCTTATCTTATCTAACTTTAAACTGTTTATTGTGTTACGTGTAAAGGAACAATGTTTGGTTTATACGTCAACATTAGTGATGAGCGAACTTATTGGTTGCTCGTAACTGTGGTTTGAATTCAGGTTTGGAATGAAGAACAAAAAGCGGAGCGCAGAATTCAGCTTGTATTTGTATGTGTTATATTGCATCCACAAAACGAATGATATTAATATAAATATCAAAATCAATTCAGTCTAGGCTGTAACATAGAACTTGTAAAAGTCGAAAACTTTGCCAATGGTTCGCAAAACTAAGGCGGATCTTGTACTGACAAGAATCGGCAAGAAATTTAGCAAGGGCTGCTTTTTTAATTTCAACTATACAATATTTGAGGGAACGTAACGACTTAATGCACACGACACCACCGCAGAGATTTTAAGAGAGTATGACTACTCTAAGTACTTAGTAAATTATATATTTTAATAAAACTGATTTCTAGAGTAGGTTGCGTAGGAAGTCAATATATTATTAACAATATTATTATAAGAAACAAAAAGCACATACCCACCGTACGAATTAACTTAACACATGGCTCGATGTCCACCGTCGACTTGCAAGATCAGTAGCAATAGTATAATAATTGTACGTGTCTTTGTGATTTTGAAATTTAAAGTTATAACTTTGCTGTTCGTTTAGAACAGACGTTTCTTGTTGATTGCTGAATGTTTATTAAGATGATTTAATTATAATATTTAATATGATTGATTGAGAGACGATTTAAATATAATATAATATTTAATAACTGATCACAGTCTTAATTTCGTAAGCACAAGTTATTTGTACGTTTCACTTAGCACAAATATCATTTTAGCCAGAAGTCATGTCATTTTGTACACATATGAGTTTCGACTAACTTAAAAGATTTAATAACTATTACAATAAAAAGTGTTCATCTTAAAGAACCTCAAGAAGCAGGGTTGAATAGTTTCGGCACGATTTTCATGTTACTATATCGCATCGATGCAGAAATATATTATTTAAAAAAATATAGGTATAGCTTCTGTGCGCATCGATTTCGTAAATTACGATATTATATACGATTTGTATGGCCCACACAGAATACATTAGGGATGATGGAAATAAGAAAAACATCGATGTCATCATCATAGGCCCAAAATCGATGTTCGATATTTATCGAAAACGGAACATCGTTGGAAAACATCAATGATTTTTTGCAATAATTTACAAAGAAATAAAATACAGTGAATCTTCCGAAATTTATTAAGAAATAGAACAAGTCATTACATATTCCTATATTTTATATCAACTGATTGAAGGAAAACGTAGAGATCTTTCTCACCTCAGTTGACATAGAGCGATCTTTTTCAATGTACAAATGGATTTTAAATGTTCGGACAAATTCATTGAAGCCAAAAAATATTGAAAAGTAGAAGCAAAAGTATTCGCTCGTATTTATAAAAAAGGCGAAATATGCGTATGAGAATTTGCTTAAGACTATCAATAATTTGTATTGTAAATTAATGTAAAGTAATAAAAATTTTATGTTAATTATCTTTGTTTTATTTGTCTATCTCTGACGTAGTTATTATTATTTAGTTGTAAGATTGTTGGCCACACGGGATTGTCCATTAGAAATCCCGGGAAGGTCCACATTAATATCAACATTTCGATGCAAGTACATAAATAACTTTATTCCTAATTCCGACCTTATAATACTATTCTTTGTTAGTTTGTGCAAAGAAGTAAGGAATTAGCTACATATTACTGATCTGTGGTAGTTGAATTTAGGAACAACATCATTCAGGAAGTGGAGATGGATGACATTGAAAGTGTTATGCTTAAAGTAAATTCAGTTTTAAAATTGACCGATTTTGATTACTCAGTGTCCCAGTTTAAAAATATTGGTCAGAATTATTTTGGTATAGTTGTGCCTGTTACTGTAACTGGCGAAGATGATGGGAAAAGGGTGATCCTTTCATTATCACTAAAATTGGCACCCACTGATGACCGATACAGAGTTAGCAATGCAGTACACTTTATGTTTGCTAGAGAAATATTTGTTTATGAAACCATTTTAGAGAAATATCACACTCTACTAAGGGAATTACCATTAGATGCGCAATACGTGATACCTAAATGTTATTATGTTTCCAAGGAGGACGGTAAAGAGGTTCTAGTCATGCAGAATATGTGTGCAGATGGTTATAAAATTTTCTTAAATCATCTGTTCCATGATCTTGACTTTGATCATATGAAGGTTTCCCTTGAAAGTTTAGCTGTATTTCATTCACTATCATGTATTCTAGAAAAAAGAGATGATCAACTTTATAATGAAATAGCATTCCATTGTAAACCTCTTTTGAAAAAATACAATATAAGATTCATGGAGGTATTACAGGACAGATTAGGAAAAGCTATAAAAATATTTGAAGGCACAGAATATATTGTAAAATTGTTATCAGAATTGAAAGCAAATTGTATCAAACATGTTGAAGCGGCAACATTAGCAGTGTGGAAACTGTGCATCTGTCATGGTGATATTTGGAAAGAAAATATACTTTATAAGTATGATGAGGTAAGGTTTTACTTTCCAGGAACCTAATCACATAATCAATGATAATGCACATTAATCAAATTTATGTTTCAGAATTGCAAACCTGTTTCTGCCTGTCTAATAGATTATCAAGCAACTCGAGTTTGTAGTCCTGCATTAGATATACTATATTTAATTACAACAAGTGCTGATTCAAATTTAAGGAAAGAACATTACAAAAGCGTTTTAAAAATTTACTATGACAAATTCTCAAAAGTTTTATGCAATGCAGGGTTGGAGCCAAATATAATTTATTCCAGAGAAAAGTTTGATATTGATTTAAATACTGTTGCTCCGGCTTGTTTAATTCTAGCTAATACTTCATTGTGGCTTTTTAATGGGCTACAAGAAGAAGGGCATGTAAGAAGCAAACAGATTTTAATGTCACCATATGAAAAACAACAGGCTGTGTCCAAATATAAATCTGCTATTCAAAATATTGTGGATGATTACATAAAATATGGTTATTTCTCTTCTATGATTTGAGAATATTTTTCAGCAAAAATTATTCGTGTGTCCTTATTAATTTTCAATCTACATATTTATGGAATGACAAATGTGAGATTTTTGTGAGGTAAAATGGTATATAACAGGAAAAGTTTTGCAATGAAAATATTTCAGGCTTCAACATCATCAAAGAAGCACCGAAACGATCAAAAGTGTTTTGTGGAAAGTTATTGATAAATTTGTTTCTACAGGGTGACAATGATTTTTTTCTTTTAGGATAGTAGGTATATTTATAATCTGACGAATATGAATATCAGAGTCAGCAAATACAAATAAACTATAAATATCAATCACAGTAAAACTGAATAAGCCTTTTATTTAATAAGAAATAATACTTACTATAATATTATAAATCGTGGAAGTGAATAAATTAATATCAATTAAATTTGCGACAAAATAAATTTACTATAAAATAATATCACTTAAAACAGCTTCTTTCTCGCTAACATTGATTGGGTGTGCTTCGTGTTAATAGTAGTGACATTGTATATTTATGTAATAATTAACTAAAAATTAAAAACACTTCTGACAGGTCATAAAATGGATCCCGACCACCCTGAGGCCCTAGACCGCCAGATATTCAAGTTTTGCCCACTCCAATGTTTTCTCAATCCTCTTTATTGCTTGACATTAAGTTAGACGGCTACAAATTTTGGCTTCTTTTGTAAATGGCTTATCTGCGCATTTCGCACAATTCTGCCAATGTTGAGAGAAATTAATTTCTTCAAATGAAAATCAATTAAGGCTGGAGTTCACCGACTTTTTAATCAACTGATTTGTACGTAACAGTTGTTTAAATACATTTTTGTGTACACCAGACACCAATGACTTAAAAAAACGAAAGCACTAAAAAGGCACCTCCACTTGATGGCGATTCTAGCAAAAGTTGAATTTTGCAGGAAATGAATAGACCAAAGACAGTCATTTCCGTTCCTTTTAACTAACATTAAAAAAACTGAAATATGAAAAGTTCGAAGCTTGGATATCAATACAATGCGAAAAAGTACAAATAAATATGAGTGGTTTATTGAGTTTTGAAATATTATTTGGTTTTAAATTAGAAAGAAAACCCGGAAAGATGTCATGGAGAAATCAAGAACATACCGTAGAGACATCTAGTTTGATTTTGGGAACTAATGTTTTTTTTAATACTTCCTCATTGATAATCTTTAATCGGCCGATTTACTTAATCGAGCCCTACAACCCCGTTTAAACGTTGATTACTTATATTGACTTATGTCATTATTTGATTTCTCTTGCTTGGCTTTGTTCGAAATGTTTTGTAGTAAATGTTAGAAATCAAAATGCAATCGGAAGTTAATTTTATATTAAATATTTAATATATCTAATCATTATATTATATTTTTAAACTATTGTACAGAAAATAAATCTATTAGAAACACTCAACACTTCTGTTTACCACCAACACAACACCAAAAAAATAAAGAATTTCCTTGATAAAGTTATTAAATCGGATTATGTCGCCGATTCGATTTGATTTTTGCGAATCTGTTTTATAACTAAGTCCATTAGGATAGGATGCTCTACTCATCACTTAAGAAATTAGACGTTTTATCTGTCCCTCTTTTTTAAAATAAATTAGTCACTTTTACACAATACAAAAGCTCAGTGGCGTAGCGGATAAGCGCCGCGGCCCGCGATCTTTGTCGTTAAGCAACTTTCGCAAGGGTCGATCACGGGATGGGTGACCAAAAAATTATTATCTCGAGCTACTCCGTGCTTCGGAAGGCACGTTAAGCCGTTGGTCCCGGTTGCATTTGCAGTCGTTAATACCCTCCAATCCGCATTGGGCCAGCGTGGAGGGTCATGGCCCATCCTCCTTAACCATCCATAAGGAAGGCCTGAGCCCCTGCAGTGGGGACGTAAAAGGGCTGATGATGATGACGATGAA